AATACGATCGGTTCAATCGTTATTGAGGTTCGATAATCTAAGGTAACTCGCAACTGGCCGACTCGCGTATAGATATTCGGAATGCCTCACGGCTTCGCGTGAACTTGGCGTGAGACACTACCGTGTCTCTTGATGTCGGAGATATTCGGCTAGAGTCCGGTGCGATTCCTCTAGCGCTCCATTGCTTTCCGGATGATACGCGGTTGTTTGAATCTTTTCGATTTTTAATAGTTTGCAAGTGTTTTTAAATATTTCACTTAAAAAATTTGTTCCTTGATCCGTTAATATTTTTTCTGGAATACCGTGCTCAAAAATTATTTTTGTCGCGAACTCTTTTGCAATTGTCGCGGCTTCTTGGTTCGGTATCGGAATTGCTTTACTAAATTTTGTTAAATTATCTTGGAACGTTAAATATATTTATTTCCATTATTCGTAATAGTTAATGGACCTATGATGTCTAAAGCACATTTTTTAAAAGGCTTAACGGCAGTATCCGTTATTGTTAGCGGTGCTTTAATTTTTCGCGATAATTTGTTTTTCTGACAAAATTCGCATTTTGTTATATAATCTTCGACATCTTTTGTCAATCCTCGCCAATTGTGCATTAGGCGAATTCGATTAATCGTGCGCTCTTTTCCTTGATGCCATCCCACAGGTGCATTGTGATATTCGTATAGAATACGTCGCTTCTCGTCTTCCGTTTATTCTCGCATTATTTTCGTGTCGTTGGTCTCATCCTCCTCGACGTTGTTGATATCCGCCACGTGTCGACTTAGCGCGTCAGCGTTTCTGTTCGCTGTCCCGGCCTTGTGTATGATCTCATAGTCGTATTCTTCTAATTTTAATCTCCATCTAATTAGTCAAGATCCAAGGTCGGTTAGGGAGCGTCCCGTTTGACCACGTTGATATTGACCACGGTCCCGATTGACCACGTTGCAATTGACCACGTTGATATTGACCGCAGTCCCGATTGACCACAGTCCTGATTGACCACGTTGATATTTACCACGGTTCCGATTGACCACGGTCCCGATTGACCACGGTCCCGATTGACCACGGTCCCGATTGACCACGGTCCCGATTGACCACGGTCCCGATTGACCCGATTGACCACATTGATATTGACCACGTTAATATTGACCACGGTCCCGATTGACCACGTTGATATAGGCGCATGATTGAACATATTATACAATATCATCAGCAAATCACGCATAAAATTAACATATAAATTGCAAAGAATACAGTAATATATTGAAGCGCACGCCAGTTACTGCTTCACCATAAATGGTTTTAAAAATGAGATATGAGAATATGAGAAATGATACTTTAGCTTTAAAAAAAGATCGCGCATTATAACACAATTTAATACACTCACTCACACACTGTTCGAAATCGAATTAAAGGCGATGGAAGACGAGGCGCCTTAAACGAGATTTAATTTAAAGCGATAGGAGATACGGCTCGGCCGATCGATAATTTCTGAGAATTCGAGATGAAAGAGATGACCGCTTTCGATGCAGTCGCTCTTGCTTTAGCTTATCGGGAGCTACGAGCCTTTCGACACTCCGAGCCTATCACTGCGCTTTAAACTAACATCAGTGGCGCCCAATCAGGGGCTGCCAGGCCCCGTCAATCAAAAAACTACCGCGAATTTCTCCTATCATAATTGTCGCTCCCTTAAGACAAAAGAAAGTGAGTCATACGTTCTGGATCCTTCTAGAAGGATTCAAGATAATAAAAGAGGCGCGCACAAGGCGCAGTCGGCTCTTGACAAAAAGTAATCGACGCGTACACGTAGTTCTTCTCGCGCTGCTCGGCTAAGTTCCGTCGCGACAGTGAATCCAGTGCGCTTTCGCGGCCCGCGATCCACCGATTCTCTGTGCGGTCTTATCGTTCGACAGTGCGGTCTCCTCGTACGAGATTATCCCTCCGTTGCTTGCGGAAATATTAGATACGATTTCTCTAAAATTGTATATTGTCAAGTCGCTCGTCTTTCCGACGGTTCACGTCATCCTTATTCATCGAGATCAAATATCGCGGCGCTCCTCACTCTCGCGTCCACCTCTCTCGCTAACACACACATACACGCATACATTTACACACACATAAAAATTTATTATATATACAGGGTGTCCTAGACCACCCGTACACCCATTTTCTTTCAAAAACTAAGCATTTTAGAGAAAAACGTTTGGAACAAAAATTGTATGGTTTTGAGGGGAACATAAGATGGTGTCATAGTGTAAAGAAAAAAACAAATAATTGTTTAAAAAAATACATTGTAAATAATTACATACTTTTTCTTAAAAACAATTATTTTTTTTTTACTACTAATTGATTTGTCTCATTATTCTGTACATAAAAGTATTACGGTAAGATTATCGAAAACTAAATATTTTACGAGATATTTTATTTTTTATATCAAAATATGTCAGATTAAAATATAAAATAACTCAAAAAGTACTTAATAAAAAAATACTTTATTATAGTGTTTTGAAAAGCTCTCGAGATAAGCTACAAGAATATGTAATGAAAAAAGAAAGGTTCCATTTAAGAAAACGTTGATCACATTGATCTCATCTTGAAAAGGTCACTCAAGGTCAAGTCCATATTTTTATCATGTGGCCCCCTCGAAACCATGCAACTTTTGTCTGAAACATTTTTTGATATCTCACTTCGTTTCCGAAAAATATGCCCGCGTCACTATAAATGCCGCACCCTGTATATATATATTTAAAAAACTTACAGTTGATGGTAAAACCATTAATCGCTGGGAAAAACGTAAACAATATTTTAATTGTATAGGACGTATGTATTCTGTGAGCCCATCTCAAATTGAATTATTTTATTTACGTATTCTTTTACTACATGTTAAAGAAGCTACGAGTTTTCAAAAATTAAGAACTGTTAATAATGAAGTACATCAAACTTTTAGCGCTGCATGCTTAGCATTAGGTCTTATAGAAGATGATGAAGAATGGAATCGTGCAATGAATGAAGCAAAAATTTGGATGATGCCAAAACGACTTCGTTCTTTATTTATTCGAATTTTAATTCATTGTCAACCAGTGCATCCTATGAAACTTTGGGATGAATTTAAAATAGATATGTCAGAAGTTTATATAAAACGATATGGATTAACAATAGGTGTAAAGAAAGCTTATAATCATATTATTAATTTATTACAAATTGAAGGATCAAATCTTTCTAATTTTTCTGAATGGTACAAGTAGTAGAAGAATTTTAAATAGAAAATGAAGACCACATTCAGAAAGAAGTATTATTAGGTGTGCAACAATATAAACAATTAAATGTAAAACAAAAAGAAATTGTTGATATTATCTTAGCAGCAACGGAAGATAATAATAATCATGATACATACGTTTTTATATTGGTGGTCCAGGTGGTTCTTGGAAAACTTTTGTTTACACAACTTTGTACTATTTACTTAAAAGTAAAAACAAAGAAGTAAATACAATGGCATTCACTGGCATTGCTGCAACATTACTTCCGAATGGAAAAACAGTACATAAAGTATTTGGGCTGCCTGTACCTCTTTTTGCTGATTCTATATCGAATATTAAAGTTCAATCTAAAGAGGCTGATAATTTAAAACATGTAGAGGTGTTTATCTTTGATGAAGCTCCTATGGCACCTCGTTATGTATTAAAGATTATGGATCGAACATTACGTGATATTCCCAGATAACCAAGCGTTGCGATTCCCGCACGAGATACTGTTACCGTACCATTACCGTACTGCCACGAGATGACGGCATACGATGTAACTGTACGGTAGCAGTACAAAAGGAATATATGATACTACGGTACAGCGTACCATCATCGTACCTCTTAGAGCATATATACCTGGAGAGGGAATTGCCTATGTTTCCTATGGATTGAAATTGTGTCCAAAATGTGTGCGAGAGAGTAAGGTATAGATTCCCAATCGTTCTCTGTGCGCATGCGTTAGCGACGATTTATCGAATATTAAATCGAGTTGTTGCAGGTTTGCAGAACTATTTCTAACAGTCCGTGTAAAATCAAAATAAATTAGTAAAATATCATTAATTTAATATAAAAATGCCTTGCGTACATTGCGTACTGTGCGGCAATCGTGATAAATCGGTTTCCTATTATGCGTAAGTAAATGTAACATTTTGTGTCTATTTATATTGTAGAGTTTATTATGTGAATTTTAGGTTAGATTTTATGTGAAGTTAAAAAAACATATTAATGTATATTATTATATACATAATTAATGTATATTATATATAATGTATATAATTAATGTATATTATTATATACAATAATGTATATTATTATGTATTATTATGTATTATTATGTATTATTATGTATGTTTATTGTTAAATATACATTTATTTCATGAAGCCAATTTCATGCGCTACCAATGCAGTACATAAACAATATATTAGACATAAATTTGCAAAATTAATTCTATTTAAACACCAATAAAAATTTAATCAATATTATTTTTTTTATTATATATTGTTTATCAAAATTATCGCATAGGTTTTCATCACATGTTTTTTATATATAACATTATATACTATTTTATAATATGTTTTATATCACATCATTATATAAAATGTTGTCTAAATAAATATTTTATTTTATGTTGTCTAAATAAATATTTTATTTTATGTTGTCTAAACAAATATTTTATTTTAATTTCTATACAATTATACTCCGATATTCATCACAATTTATAACCTATAGCTGTCAATTTTAATGCGTACAAAGGACAAATAGAAATCTATATCTTTCTCTCTCGCACACATTTTGGACACACTTTTGTGCCAACATTCCCTCTCCAGGTATATATGCTCTAAGTCGTACCTAGAGACCCTCTAATAAGAGACTGGCCATAAGAGTGCGTCGCCATGTTTCGTCAAAATCCTGCGAGTGAGAGAGAAATATAGGCTATTTCACTCTTCCACTCACACAAATGTCTGGCACGTGTTTGTTTATATATGTGTCTTTCAATTCATGTCGGTGTAAAGTGATACGTGTTGTGTGTTTAAAATTCCATAAAAATGGGTGGATGCTCAGCGGAATTTTGTAACAACTCATCATCGAAAGGATATATAATGAAAATATTTCTCAGGGATCCTCAACGATGTGCCTCATGGGCCAAAAATGTTGGCCGTCAAAATTGGACGCCTACAAAGAATTCGTATCTTTGTGAGGTTAAGTAGCATGTTTCTAATAAAATTGATCAAAAATATATTATTAATTTAATTAAAAATGGTTTTGAATCTTGTCTTTTATCTTTTATTTCTATATTGAAACTTATTTATGTCTTATTGTATATCACCTCTTCTTTCTTATTTCACTTTAATCACAATTTGCAAATTTCGAATACTAAAAATTACTATAATAATTTTTATTTTTAATTTTTGTATATTTTTATATGAATAATTATGTTATATAACAATTATATGATAAAATTAAATAATTTGTTTTTTTTCTTTTTTTATTATACAGATACATTTTGCTCCAGATACGTGGGAACAAAGAAGTGACGGTAAACGAAAATTAAAACCAAATGCTGTTCCCACAATATTCGGTTTTTTTCTTAAAAAGGAAATGCCAATAGCAGAAAATAAAAACAATGAAGTGTTGTTAAAAAATAATATTGACGAAAACGATAACGTGCTAGACAATGATGTTTCCAATAATGAATTGATTAATAATGAAAATCAAGATGTGAAATGTGAAGTTAGTATTAAAATAGTAACACTATAACAGAAAATTTTAATGTATTTATATCACGCAAAATTTTTTTTTCAGATAATTACGAATACTTCTGAGTTAGACAATGATGTTTCCAATAATGAATTGATTAATAATGAAAATCAAGATGTGGAATGTGAAGTTAGTATTAAAATAGTAACACTATAACAGAAAATTTTAATGTATTTGTATCACGCAAAATATTTTTTTCAGGTAATTACGAATACTTCTGAGTTAGACAATGATGTTTCCAATAATGAATTGATTAATAATAAAAATCAAGATGTGGAATTTGAAGTTAGTATTAAAATAGTAACACTATAACAGAAAATTTTAATGTATTTGTATCACGCAAAATATTTTTTTTAGATAATTACGAATATTTCTGAGTCTTTATCTATAACTAATTTAAGAAAAAATAAAGAAGGCAAGAAACAACGTGAACATGAAAATCTTGCAGAAGTTATTCAAAGACAACATCTACGAATGATAAATATGAGAAGAAAAATGAAAGCTTTAAGAAAAACAATACATACATTGCAAACTAAAATGAATAATAATAGATACAAAGCAGCTTTAAATTCAATTTTTACTGAAGATCAGATCCAGGCTTTATTCACGGAAAAAAGAAGTATTCGAAATTGGTCCCATAAAACAGTACATCGTGCTCTGCAATTAAAATTTGTTTGTGGAAATAATGGCTATGAAGAACTCATTCAACATGGATATCCATTTCCGAGTTTGAAAACGTTACGACGGAAATTAGAAGATTTTAAATTTGAGCCTGGAATTTCAAACAAAATGTTTGAATTCCTAATACATAAGAAACCATATTTGGAAAAAGAAGCTGATTTGGAATGCGGCCTGGTATTTGATGAAATGGCGATCACACCTAAAAAATGTTACAATTCATCAACGGGATCATTAATAGGAGACATAACATTTCCCAACGAGAAAGGTAGCGCAACGCATGCTCTTGTATTTATGTTTGTCGGCATTAGTAATAGATGGAAGCATGTCGTGGGATACCATTTTACTGGTAACAGTTTTAATAGTGAAACTTTAAAAGATATAATCTTTCAGATAATTGCTAAAGCAGAGCAAATAGGTTTCCATGTAAACTTTTTTACAGATATCGGATATGAGTTCTGGAAATGTTGCATTGTGGAAATTATTGGGTATAAGTACTGGGCGATTTAGTAAAATAATTAATTATATCACACATCCATTCGATACAAATCGATATTTATATATTATTGGCGACCCACCACATATTTTAAAAAATCTTAAATCAGCATTAGTCAGTAATGAAACGATAATTATTTCTAATGATGTAGTAATAAAGTATAACTTACCTTCTGATAAAATTGAATTGCAACATTTTTGTGAACTGATAGATATTCAAAATAATTCTGAACTTTTATTAACGCCTAAACTAAAAAAGATGACATTAGATGCAATAATTTCAACAAAATGAAAGTAAATAAAGCTAAACATGTTTTTTCAAACGATGTGAGTAACTCATTTCAATTATTAGCAAATGAAAATAATAAACCAGAGTTTATCACTACCGCCTGGTTTGTTACCATCGTGTGTAAATGGTTTTCTCTTATGACATCAAGATATTGCAAATTAGCCCTTGGTACAAAAAATGAAAATGTATACAACGAAAATATTACTTTTTTAAATGAAATTATTGATATTTTTATAAAATTAAAGATAGGTACTGGACAATTTAAACCGGTACAAAGAGGTATTATAATTAGTACTAAATCAGTAATAGACTTAATTGAATATATTATTACTTATAGAAATTTTAAATTTGTTTTAACTTCTCGATTCACTCAAGATTGCATTGAGAATCTCTTTTCGCAAATAAGACAAAAAAACGTTATACCAAATCCCTTACAATTTACAAATAATTTGAAATTAATATCTATTGCAATGTATATGAAACATATAGATAACAGCAATTATTATAATGATGACCAAGAATATTTTTCAGGATTTCTTGAATATTTATCAGGAAAGAAAAAGAACAAAGAACTTGTGGTGGATTCGAATAATAATCTAGCAAGTATTGATAAAATTCCATTTTTTAATAAAAATTCCACAGAAAAATTAACAACTCTTGAGTTAAATTCTTTATACAATATTGCTGGATATATTGTGAAAATCTATTATGAAAGATCTATTATGAAAATATGTAAAACATGTAACAAATGCATAAAATCTATAACATCAGAAACTTCAATAGAGTATTCCTTTACAAAATTAGTACAATTAAAATGTTATTCTAAGAACTCATTATTTTTTGTCAATGTAAAAACATTTAAACTATTCATATTATTAGAAAAGATGTTCCGACACTATTCAAAATATTTTAATATCGAAAATATTAATTGGAAAAATTATTTAATTTCTAACTTTAGTCAGGTTGCCGCACATATTATAAATTGCCATCAATTGTTTTTAAAAATTATTAAAAGATTTGTAGTATTTAGGTTAAGAATAATAAACAAAAAAATATTAATGTTAAGAGAAGATATGATAGCAAATCTACGGCTGTACAAACTTTTTTTAAATAAATTTTGCAAATGTTAAAAGTATTTTTAATTTTATAAATTATTCCTTACCCTTACTTAAATTTTACTTAAGTGTTCATAGAAGAGAAAACATTAAATATAAAAAATTATTTTAACATAAATTATTTAGATCAATATAAAAACTAGCTTTTTGTATTTCTATAATATTTATCATTTAATATTATTCACATTAAAAATAAATAGAATAATTGAAATTTGAATATGAGCGGGAGTTGACGAAAAATGGCGGACCAATCAAAAGTGGCCCTCTTATGGCCAGTCTCTTATTAGAGGGTCTCTAGTCGTACCTATACTGCATATTAATCGACACATATCGCACAATAGGAACCGTACCGTACCAGTACGGCGTACTGAGTATATATTAACCTAAAATGAACCAATACACTAAAATATATATAAAATTAATACATAATTAATAAATTAAATATTTCTTTTTTAAATTGTCATTTTAATTTTAAATTAAATTTAATAGCAATGATAATATATGATAATGGCAAAGAGAAGCCTGAGAGAGGCAATGCCGGCGATTTTCGTGGGACGCT